ATGGTTGGTTTGGTTTCTCGAGGCACAACAAGTGGTATCAGGGCACCGGGCAACGCTTGGGCTTTTTGGAGGTGTAGATCAATTGGGAAGTTCATCTAGAGCTTCGATTGGTGATAAAGATGGGATCTTTATGGTAAAGTTTTTATCTTTTTCAAGTTGGATCTATTTCTTGTTTGTTCCGTAATAGTTTGGGTGCTTTAAGATATATGGCCGGAAAAGATAAAAATGGGGAGGGTTCTTCTAGTGTGAAGGCCGTCCAAAGTTTGAATATACATTCTATAAAAATAGATGTGGAAAAGTTTAACGGCACAAATAATTTTGGACTTTGGCGATGCGAAGTCATGGATGCGTTAAATACGCTAAATTTGGAAGATACGTTGGAGTTAGACGGGAAACCGGCCGACATTGATGATAAGGTTTGGAATAAAATGAATAGAACGGCGTGTGGTGTGATTACGTCTTGCCTCACTCAAGACCTAAAATATGATGTGATGAATGAGACTTCGGCAAAGAAGATTTGAGAGGTCCTAGAGGGCAAGTATTTGACAAAGAGCGTCAAAAATCGTTTGTAGAAGAGGAGGCTTTATCGCTTCCAATTGAAGAAGGGAACATCCATTAGTGATCACATGAACCACTACACGAAGCTACTTACAGATTTGGCGAATATAGATGTCATTGTTAAAGATGAGGATAAGACATTGTTGTTATTGAGTTCCTTGCCCGATGAGGAATATGAGACATTCGTCCTTACTCTTATTAATGGGAAGACATCTCTTTCGTATAGTGAGGTCACTATGGCTCTTGTGAATTATCAACTTCGTAAGAAGGACAAGGAGACTTCCATTGAGCCGGTAGCGGGGGGGCATTGGTTGCAATAGCTAGAAGTCCAAACCGTGGTAGAAGGTCACAGTCTAGAGGGGGGCATCCTGCAGTTAGTAGGAATCAGTGTGCCTTTTGTAGAGAGGATGGACATTGGAAAGCCGAATGCCCAAAATTGCAAGCCGAGAAGAATAAGGGGAAAGTTATTCAAGCTTCAGAGGTGAATATTGCCAAGGCTAGTGGTGACGTTTCAGATTCAGATTCTTCAGGCTATTCGTGCCCAGCTCTTCCGTCAGTTGGTGTTGCCGACTCCACCGAGTGGATGTTGGATTCGGGTGCTACTTATCATATATGCCCTAGGAGGGATTGGTTTTCCAGCTTTCAGGAGTTAGAAAGAGGGGATGTTGTTCTTATGGGTAATGATCACAGATGCCCTATTGGTGGTATTGGTACCGTTCGAATTCGAACGAGTGATGGGATGGTTCGAGAGTTGGTTGATGTGAGGTTTGTTCATCAACTGAGGAAGAACATCAATTCACTTGGGGCATTAGAGGCAGCAGGCTATAGGGTAACCTTAGCGGATTCTCGCTTGAAGGTCACATCGGGGTCCATGATTGTGATGAAGGGCGTCAAGAGGAGTAACTTGTATTATCTGCTTGGGAGCACGGTGATTGATAGAGCGTTGACGACTTCTTTGGCTAGACTGTGGCATTGTTTGGTGCTGGGATATATTATTGGTTATGTCATGCACAGATTGTTGAGGAGTGTCATGACCTGTAGATTGAAGTTCTTTGAGCACATTGGGATGAGCGAGAAGACCAAGGTGGTGTTGAGCACTTCTACCCACCGATCGAGGGGTCTTATTGGAGGTGTTCAGTCAGGCATTGGGGGGCCTTCCATAGAGGCATCATTGGGAGGTAATGGTTATTTTGTTTCTATGTTGGGGATTATACTAGGCATATATGGGTTGCAACCAAGTCCCGTTGGTCTGAAACCCTAGTAGTCCGCGACAGTTGGAGGAGGTGTATGGGCAGAAAGGCTACCCGTTCTTTCGTGCATTGGTGCCGAGCTCATGGCAGTTGGAGACACTTCAGAGGAGAGAAGACAGTGGGGCGACGTGATGAGATGGCGGATTTAGAGGGCTGTATTTTTCTGGAGGAGGATCGACATTGGTCGTCGAGCAGTGGATTTGGTATTCAGACTTCGACAGGTTTGGGTCATCTTATGAGGTTGTCGACTGCTGCGTTAGATATTATTAGATCTGGTGGAGCTGCTTCAGATTTTGGTTGGCGTCGGATATTAGGCTACCCAGCACGTGGTCACATCGTGGATGTGAGATTGCATCCGATTGCGTATTTGGGATTCAAGAGTTCATTCGGTTATTAGTTGGGAGCTTCTGAGTTTGGTCTGAGCAGGTTTGTCACTTTGGACTCTTAGCAGATAGAGAGTATTGATCAGATCAGAGGGATACCGTAGCGGGTGGAGAGTGATGCTACTTCACATTGGGTGGAGCTTACTCCACATAATCCAGGTCATTCTTCATTCTTAAGCTTTCCAGCTGAGGTGGCACAGCGTGGGAGTCATGTGGATACGGATGCGGATGACGAGTTGGTAGACCCGGGTGCAGCTGGTGGATATACTTTGGATACAGCTATTGTTTCACCTCAGGTGGAGGTGTTTGGATCGCTTCAGTTTGGGATCATTGATGATACTATCAGCCGCAGGTTGGATTGATGGCCATTGGGTGAACTACGTGAAGGCTTAATTTCTTGGAGAGGATACGTAGGCAGCCAGTTTTGATGCAGCCGATTTGGTGAGTAGACACAGTTAGTTTGGGGTGAGTGTTCGCACTCCCGTTTGGGTCTCAACATGTTGTGGATGTGGTCCGTTATCATGAGTCCGTTGTCATGGCATACTGGATGCAACAAGTGAGAAATTGGTTTGGTTGGTGTCGGCTCAGTTTGGTAGAATCTTCGCCGAGGTGGAGATTTGTAGAGATGGAGCTCAGAAGCAGTTATGGAAGTAGACAGATTGGCGGTCGACCGCGTTCTTGCACAAGGCTTATTGGGCGTCTGGACCTGTGGCGGTCGCCCGCGGCGGTCGACCGTAGAAGTTTCTGGACCTTGGAGCCGTCCTGGGATTGAGGGCGGTCGACCGTGGGCAGTCGACCCCCACGGTCGACCTCCGTAGCGGTTTTAGGCTGGGTCTGTTTCCAGACCCGTTTCGTTTGGGTTCCCTATATATACCCAATGTGGGTTTTTAGGGTTTGGGAGAGCAGGAGTTTGAGAGCTGAAAGGGGGTTTTCTTTGGGCTTCTATTCTAGGAGCAATTAGAAAGATTGAGAGTTGATTTGTTGAGGGTTTATGAGAAGATTTGTAACTCTAGTTTGTTCCTCTTGATTTCTAATAGTGAAAACTCCCCCCTCCTTGCCCCGTGGACGTAGGCATCTCGCCGAACCACGTAAAATCTGGTGTTATTGTGTTTGTGCTATTGTTTTGGTTGTGTTGGTTTGTCTCTTCCGACGATTGGTTTGGTTTCTCGAGGCACAACAATACCTTTCTCTTCTCGACCAAGAGAATGGGCCTAAAATACCATGCAAACCGCAATAAGCTCAAAATTAATCACTTGACATTTACTGATGACCTCTTATTGTTTAGGAAATTAGGAGATCTTACTACTATAGGAAAGCTTTAGGATTGTATTAATCATTTTAGTAAGATCTCTGGTCTATGTCCAATCTCGATAAATCTTCATTATACATTTTTTGGGGTTCACCCAAATGCAAAGGAGAATATTTTTCTTATTCCCAATTAGTGTCCTAACAAATATATGGGGATTTGTATGATAACTAAGAGGATGTTCTACACGCCAAATTACCAAACCAAATTCAATATTGGCGTGATTAAAAGAACTATCCTATAACGTGCAATCGCAATTAATAAATCTGTTATCTTTGACATTCAAGTGTACTGGGGAATTAATTATATATATCCTTACTAAAAGAGTTTTGAGGAAACTTGATGAGCTCTATAGGGGTTTCTTTCAGGTAGATACTCGTGCTAATCCTAAACCATCTTTGATTCGCTGGAAGGAAGTATGTGCCAAGAGATTTATAATCATGGTGATGTTTGGAGTAATGCTGTGACTCTCAAGCTTGCCTGGGTAATTAATGCCAAAAAAGACCTCTTATGGATCGAATGGTCTCATGCAAACTATTTGAAGAGGGCTCATATTTGGGGTTTCCACAGCTAGGCATGCAGGGGTATTCTTGGATCCGAAAGCTGCTGATTACTAAAGCAAGAGATGATGTCATTCCTTGATTTGGTTGATGAGCAAGATGGGAGCTTTGTCTTCATTGAGTTGAGCCAAAGCATTCCTCTCGAGCCGGATGAAGTTAATTGTGTATAGTACTAGAGCAGCTAGCTCTCTCCACCAATTCAGAGTCCCAGTTCTAACCACTGTTGTTAACAATCCTATAAATCCCTCAAAAAATCTAAAGTTTGGATTGGCTATGATCCGTAATCATGTGTAGTTATAAGTTCAGGGATTTTGGGTTTTCACTTTCTCGGGTTTGCCTGAGGTGATGACATGTATATAACAGCATCATCATATGGTACGTAAAGGTGGAACACAATTACTCCATTTACCAAATATAAGGCTACTAGATGGTTAACAAAACAAACTTAATTAATAGACAACACATAGTAAGATATTATTACTCACGAAAACAACTCGGTACATATATAGCAGGAAGATAACCATAACCACCCTCACAAGATGAGCTTGAAAGAGTACACGATACATCGTATGACAGACTCAGAAGAGACTCAGAACACGACATTATTATTCCCCAAATACGCGTGCATATCGGTGCATGCGACTGCTTTCCAGGCAGTTTATTCTTTACCATATTACGTACTTTCAGGTGCTGCTAGCAGTTAAGCATCAGCACCTTCGAGAAAAAGGACAGCCCTATAGATGGCCACAGCATCCGATTGAATGTAAACCTTGGCCAAGAGTCCGTTCCGGTCATCGCTTGATTCAGCTTTAGATCCCAATGTTAGTTGCTCGAGTTTCTCCCACAGCTCTTTCCCCTGAAAGTGACCCGCTTCACGGATCTCAGTGTAGGCCTGCACAACAAAACGTTTTTATACAACTAGCCATGCCAGCAATATTATGTGCTAGCCAAATAGCGACTTAAAATTAAGTTGGATGGAAGTCAGTTTCACGGAAGAGAATGGGATAACTTCAAGTTAGAAACCATATCAAGAATAGTCACTTATATTTGATTTTTGAATAAAAGATGTAGCAACTAAGACCAACGGTCGCTGCTTCGTAGTTTACCGTGTGGCCATTTAGGGTCGAGAAGGTATGGTTCCAGGAAAACATCCAGTCACCGTCTGCACCGGCTTTGTTCTTGCCGCGGTAGACAACGGCCCCAGACGATGAAGTTCCAATGGCCACCGTACTGGATGCATGAATAAAGGTTGCCCACTGGCCATTTGCGATCTTCTCGGGGTAGACTGTAGAACCCTGCAGGTCCCCACTCCAGTTGTGATGCGTAACGTACTCGAGGGGATCCCCGGTAGCGTTGTAGACCATGCAAATCGTTGCGGCCTTGTCGCCGAACGTGGGCCTGAGCTCCTTGACGTATTTGAGTGGAGCCACCTCTTTGCCGTCAGCGTACATCAGTTTGAGAGCCTCGTGTCCCCTGTGGAAGCGTGTTATTGTTTTGTTAGAGTACTGGCTCATTGCTTTCAGGGTCTCGTCGGTGACCGCGGTGCCGAATGCCTTGGTTTCCATGACGGTGGCTTGCTGCTGGATATTGCAGGAGGTCTACTTGAGTATATGGATGAGATGGGATGGGAAGATACCCACCTCTATTTATAGATCGACTAGAGTTTCTGAATTTTCATGCTTTCAATGTGTCTTGAGCACCTTCACTTGACCAGTCTTTTAATATCAGAAAAAGACCATTAAGTAAAAGAAAATCTCCACAAGACAGCAGACCACGCGACCAAGTCTTTTAATATACACGCATGACAGGACCAAGTCTTTTAGTAAGCATATAACCACATGAGAGGTCCTGATTGAAGAGTCTTTTTACAAGTGATAAGATTTTTATTAATGGTAAAAGAAGGATTGCAAATAGGCCAAGAAAACTTGTTAAGAAACTGCTGAGAAATATATGATAATGAGTAACTTAGTTATAGGCTAAGTCACTAGATGACATTTTTTATACACCTATGGTATTTTTTCTAACTCCGACAATGAGTTGGTATTTTTTTCTAAGCCAAATGTGCAATTAGACCCCAAACTCGGGTGAGGAAAAGCTGTGAAACCTCATGCGATACTATTAGTACTATCTTATATTAAAGAGGAAAGTGGCAGAATATTATTTGGTAAATTTGTATAAAGATAATAGCTATGTATAAGCTCATGCAAGAATATTGAGTCAATTACAAATGACATAAATTTGGGACAAAAAATGGGAAGACATGTGCTACCTTCAAGTATAGCAA